CCTTTCATAATAATAATAATAATAATTTATTTAATCACCTGGCTACAAATAGTAGATGTGACAAGTTCAAACCACATACAATATATAATACACAACATACACAATATTCAACAAAGAAAGAGAGAAATTAAATTATGAAGTATGACCTATGCTAGTTGACTAGGACTAATACTAAAATTAAATGACAAGTATTCCTGGCGGTCGTAAAACGCCCTTTCTACAAGCATCATTTTTACTTTATGTTTAAATGAGCTAAGCGTATCAGCTTTTTTAATTGCAGATGGCAAATTATTATAGAGCTTTGGGAAATCATACCGTGGACTCTTTTCAAAGAAAGCCGTCTTATGATGACCCAAGCACACCAAACTATCAGATCTAGTTTCGTAATTGTGTTTCATAACAGGGTATCTATCGACATGCTCCCGCACATGAACAACAGATTTATATATATATATACTTTGAAGAGTAAGAAGCGAATTCAACATGTTTGTCAAAACTTAGCTGCTCGTCTAGATAAACACCCAAAAACTTGCAGCTATTTGATAGAATGATATCATCGGCTTGCGGAAGCCTTCTCCTCTTATGAAAATTTACAAACACGGTCTTTTTTAGATTAAGAACAATACGATTTTGTTTGCACCAAGCATCAAATGATTCAACGGTATGCTTGACTTTAGAAGAAAGCATATCAGCATCATTAGACGCCAGGGCAATTGACGTGTCATCGACATACATGACTATGTGGACATCGGAAAGATACTCAGGAAGGTCATTTATATACAATAGAAAAATTAATGGGCCCAAGATTGAGCCCTGGGGAACTCCCAGTCGAACATTAGATTCCGATGACTCCTGACCAGAGAGGACCACTTTTATTTTTCGTTCCTCCGGAAATGATTGAAGCCAATTTAAAATCGTGCCTCGCAAACCCAAAGCATACAATTTCTGCATGATGTACACTAGTGGCAGCGAATCAAACGCACGCGACATGTCGAAGAACAGACCCACAGCAAAATTACCTTTATCCAGGTTATCGTAGATGAACTCAATAAAATTCAATGACGCAGTCTCTGTAGACAGGCCCCGCCTAAAACCATGCTAACAGCATTACTAACAACATTGAACCTGTCCAGAAAACTCAAAATTCGCTCCGAGACGATCCTTTCAAATATCTTTGAAAAAGCGCTAGTTATCGCTATTGGTCTGAAATTGTTGACATTTGTAGGATCACCAGCCTTGAAAACTGGAATGACCCGAGAAATTTTCAGCGCCCCGGGAAAGATTCCAGAACAAACAGAAAAATTAAATACATGCTTAAGGGGCTCGACCAGACGAGACGCTACATACTTAATTACACTCACACCGATGCCATCGCAACCCGTCGAGCGTACGTTTTTTAAGCGCTTGATGGCCGCTAGAATTTCTGCGGAGGATATAGTATACAAAAATATGCTATTGGGTACAGAGCTACCAACGGTGCAAGATACATTCCTCATCGGGCCATAAATCAACTCTACCTTCTCCTCAACAGATGTTGTGAAAAACTTTGAAAATGTTGAGCAGATCTGCGCAGTGTCGCTAATCATATATATCTTGTTAATATTAATTTTAGGTACTTGTGGCCATTATATAGGTGTTCCTGTAAGTCATGGCATAATTTTAATAGCGAATACTAGAGAAATACTCCTTTGTACCTTTTCTCCTATATTATTTTTATTTAAATGAGCGATCCTCCAGTTCGTCGTATTTGTGTTAGTCCATATATTTTGTTTTTGTTTCATTTTTTTGCTTTCCCTTCTAAGGTGCCTTCTAAAGCTTCTTCCTTCGTCGCTGCAATTGTTCTGCTTATTCTGTCCATATCATCAGCATGTCCCAAAATTTGGACTGATTTGACAAATATTGTTTCTACTTCCAGCTCCCTAATTACTCTTGTATTCCTGCGTCTTTTGCAATGCTTTGTGCATTAGCACAGATTTCGTTCCCAACAACCTCTCTATAACAGTTGCCGCTACATCCTCTTCTTTTTTCCTGTAAATTGATAAGTTAGCTTTTATGCAAATAATTTTATTACTACAAGAGATTAACTTAATTTAAAGCTAATTTATTTTGTCATCTATTTATTATCCTACTCATAAAGTACAAATTTAAACACAACAAAGATTCAATTTATTTTTTATTCGATCGCTTCTCCAAAGCAATTTTAAGAGCCCCCTCCGGTCTTAAAATCAACTCAGCCACAATATTAATCGTTTCGAGAGTATCAACAGGAACAATCCTAAAATTTTTTAAAATTGACGCAAGCAAAGTTTTTTCTTCGTACATAGCAAACTTTTGCCCAATACAATTCCTCGGTCCAGCACTAAAAGGGACGTAAGCATAAGGATGGCGATTTTTGCAATTTTCTGGAAGAAATCGATCCGGATCGAATTTATCCGGATTAGGATAAATCTCCGGATTTCTATGAACGTGGTAAACGTTGATGTTGATTTCGGTTCCTTTAGGAATTTTAAATCCATCTAAAAAAGAAATGATTAAATTAATTTGTTTTAATTATATTGATTTTAGAACCTAAAGTAATTTCTTCAGTTAAACATCTTGCAAAAAATGGTACACTTGGGTATAATCTCAAAGCTTCTTTAATGCAGCATTCTAAGTACTTCAAATCGTTTAATTCGGAGATCGTTTCAGGGGCTTTTTTGTCGCCCAAAACGGTATTTATTTCTTGATAGGCTTTCTCTTGGACATCTTGGTTTAACCCAAATAAAAATAAGCTCCAAGAAATTCCTGCCGTTGTCGTATCGTGCCCTTCAAACATAAAGGTATCAACTTCTGCTCGAATATCGATGTCATCTAACGAAGTTTCTAATAAAAGATCTAAAAATGATAATCGAGTTTTTTGGCTAAAATCGTTTTCTTCGATTTTAATCGGGTTTTCTTTGAGATGTTTCCTCCTATCTGAGATAACTTTATCGGTGAAGTTGTGCATGATGCTTAAGTTTTTGTAGAAATCTTTTCCATCTTTTAGATAAGGGTAAATCGGGGTTTGTTGGAGGATGCTTAATTGTCTTTTTAGGATTAATCCGGTTGTTTTATAAATAGCTTGGGTGTAAGGGCTATTTCTGTCAGATATTGCGTTTATGGGAACCCCCATCGCGGTTTCACAAATGATATCTAAAGTGCAATGAGTGATATAAGGGTAAACATCGAAACTTGTCCCATCAGCCACTTTATCTAAGTACTCAATAAGTAATTTGCTTTTTTCAACGAAAACGTTCATGAAATTCTCTAAAATTTTAAAATGGAAAGTTGGAGTGATCATTTTCCTTCTTTGTTGCCATTTCGCCCCATCACTAATCAATAACCCATCTCCTAACCATTCTTTTATTATCTTATACAAACTCCCTTTTTTAATGTGTACCGAACTATTCATGATCACCTAAAACAAAAATTTAGTTAAAAATTACACCAAAATTATTACAAAAGTTACTTCGAAATGTTCTGGTGTTGCTATGTTAATTTCGTAATAAAATAAGTTGTACGTCCGAAAAAATGTACCATATTTCTTGGCGATTTCGGTAAAACGTCGAAAGATATCTAAAATTTAATCCAATTAATGAAACGTTTGAAGAATCGTATCTCAAGATCCAATTGAGATATCAAGATTTAATGTGCCATAAAAATTTGTTAATTTCCATAAACTTCGGTGATATGATTTTTTAAACCCAACTCGGCTTTCTAAATTTTAAGTTAAAATTAAAAAAATCGTATCTCAAGAACCGCGATATCGTCCTATATTTATTTAGAATTAAATTATAAATAATTTTTGTTAGTAACATTATTCAAAATAATGAAATTTTAGTTTCCCTGTGAATAGTACGGTTCATTCCATATCATGGAAATTCAGGATATATTGCTTCTATCAAAAAATGTTTCATACAATATTTGTTTAGAATATGATTTAAAATCGATTTCTTTAGTACAATTTTTTGATATATCCACCAGATGGGGCTCTATACTCTTATAGAAAGCGATAATTTTGAGGTTATCTCAATAATTATTGATCGTATCAAAAAATTTTACGAATAATATTTATTTAGAATTAAATTATAAATAATTTTTGTTAGTAACATTATTCAAAATAATGAAATTTTAGTTTCCCTGTGAATAGTACGGTTCATTCCATATCATGGAAATTCAGGATATATTGCTTCTATCAAAAAATGTTTCATACAATATTTGTTTAGAATATGATTTAAAATCGATTTCTTTAGTACAATTTTTTGATATATCCACCAGATGGGGCTCTATACTCTTATAGAAAGCGATAATTTTGAGGTTATCTCAATAATTATTGATCGTATCAAAAAATTTTACGAATAATATTTATTTAGAATTAAATTATAAATAATTTTTGTTAGTAACATTATTCAAAATAATGAAATTTTAGTTTCCCTGTGAATAGTACGGTTCATTCCATATCATGGAAATTCAGGATATATTGCTTCTATCAAAAAATGTTTCATACAATATTTGTTTAGAATATGATTTAAAATCGATTTCTTTAGTACAATTTTTTGATATGTCCACCAGATGGGGCTCTATACTCTTATAGAAAGCGATAATTTTGAGGTTATCTCAATAATTATTGATCGTATCAAAAATTTTTTCGAACAATATTTATTTAGAATTAAATTATAAACAATTTTTGTTAATAACATTTTTCAAAATAACGAAATTTTAGTTTCCCTGTGAACAAAAATTACACAAATATCTTACCAGAACGTTTTACACCAAAAAATAAATACAAATTTCCAATAATCGGGTACGCTTTAGGCCCTCCGATTTTTTCCAAATGATAATAAATCTCTCTGTGCCGCTTTAAATACCTCAATAAACCCCAAACTATTAAAACAGCCAATAAACCAAAAACGTATTGCAACATTTTTATTTGATCCTAAGTTATTACCCGGTTGAAACTCACGATAGAACTGACTCATTTTAATTCGAGACAGTTATCTTAAGTGCACCAAGGTTAAAGATATCAGTCTTTATAAATTGCGTAATAACCAAGATGATTTAGCACGAATTTATCGCATTGCTTAAAATTGAATAGTATAAATTGACATTATCGTTTTTCTAATTTAATTCTAACACCTTGCTCAGGCCGCATAATAAGCTCAGCTAATTCGTTCACTTTTTCTTGCGAATCAAAAGCTGTAACTTTATAACTCTTCAAGATTGCTGCCAACATCGTTTTTTCTTCATAAATCGCAAATTTTTGTCCGATACAGTTTCTTGGACCCGCACTAAATGGGATGTAGGCATAAGGATGGCGATTTTTGCAATTTTCTGGTAAAAACCTATCAGGGTCGAATCTCATGGGATCGGGGTAAATCTTTGGGTTTCTATGAACTTTGTGAATATGTAGGATGCAGTAAGCATTTTTAGGAATTTTGTACCCATCAACAACGACTTCTTCAGTCATTTTTCTTGATATTATTGGTACGCTTGGGTATACTCTTAAAGCTTCTTTGATGCAGCATTCTAAGTATTTCAAGTCGTTTAATTCTGAGATCGTTTCTGGGCATTTTTTGTCGCCTAAAACATCTTTGAGTTCTTCATAAACTTTGTCTTGAACTTCTTGATTATTTCCTATCAAAAATAAGCTCCAACAAATCCCAGCTGTTGTTGTATCATGCCCTTCAAACATAAAGGTGTCCACTTCTTCCCTTATGTCTTTATCAGGGATGGTTTCGTTGGAAGATAAAAGCAAATCTAAGAAAGATAATTTCTTTTTTGAATTAATAAAAGTATCCTCGGGAGATATTTTGTTTTGGGGGTTCTCTTTCAACATTTTTTGCCTCTCTGATATAACTTTGCTGGTGAATCCATGAAGAACCTTCAAATGACTCCGGAATTTCCTCCCCTCAGGGAGTAAATAATAAAAATCTGAGTGATACCAAGGCGTGAACATCCTCTTAATGATCATCTCGCTGCTTTTATACAAAGAATCAACGTATTTATTATCCTTAGTGTTCTCCAAGGCATTCGTTGTGACCCCCATTGCAGTTTCGCAAATTATATCCAAAGCACAATGAGTTATGTAAGGATAAACATCGAAAACTCTCCCATTCGCCTCCTTCTCCAAAACTTTAATTAATCTTTGACTCTTTTGGGAGAAAACATCCATGTAGTGCTCCAAAATTTTAAAATGAAAAGCTGGGGTTATTAATTTTCGACGTTGGAACCACTTGGCAGCTAAAAATAGATTAAAAATTAATTTTTTATCATTTCAAACGACCTAAAAAACATTACCACTACTAATTAATAACCCATCGCCTAACCACGGCAAAATATAATCGTAAATTCTCCCCTTTGTGATTAATTTTGAGCTTTTTAAAACGATTTCCATGTGTTCGGGTTCCGTAAAATGAACCTCAGGGATGCGATTACTCCACGTTCTAAAAATTGTGCCATATTTGTCGATCGTTTCTTTAACCCTGTTAAACATATCTTTAAAAAAATTAATTTATTTTATAACTTAGTAATTTTAGTAATATTTAATTTACCAGCTCTTTTAGCTCCAAAAAATATTTGTAAAGTCCCAATAAACGGATAAGCGTGGGGCCCTGGAATTTTTTCGATGTACTGGACGATTTCTTTGTGCCATTTCCAATAATTTTGGAGCGTCCATAACAAAATGATACCGACGATAGCTACGATATAATACATTTTTGTTCTTTTTGATGTGATGTAACACACGCGACTCTGATAAGCGACTGATTACAACGTGGGGATTCGCGTGCTTATAACTATCTCTAACGTGGACCTTGAGCCCACTTTTGATCGTTTTTGCAGTATCATTGCAATTATTAAAAAAGAAACTTGTGGGATGACTTAATATAAATTTATATTGATTTTTAAAGTTCCAAAAACAAATCTAATTGCTATATTGCAATATCACTTCGAACCGGTTTTTGAAAAAGGTTGCAACATGGCATCCGAAACGTCAAACCTTTTATTAAAAGACGCACGGCAAAACCCGAAAGTTTCTAGTGTTAGTTCTAATTTTAGTTTAATTCTACTTATAACAATATTGCTCTCTTGCACTTTTGCATTCAGACATTACATTATATTACCTTACATAGAATACATATCGGGTAGGCGGACCAACCAACCTTGCACCGCGACCCTAAGGATCTATTGTACCCCGATAGATATCGTTATCAAATTTCACCGTGCAGTCCAATGCTCTTAACGAACATTAATACCTTGCTCGGCGAAAGGTCATTCAGATCTTTTGAGGAGATAAACTGCGACCCAAAAATCGAGAATCTGATACGGTTAACGGCAGGGCAGTGGCATAAAACATGCTCAACCGTCTCTGCTTCCTCCGCACATAGTCGGCATTCAACATCGTCGGCTAAACCCAACAAGTTGAGGTGTGCTTTTAATCGGCAGTGCCCAGTAAAAACACCCATTAGAACTTTTATGCTACTACGGGCAAGTCCTAAAATATTCCCGGGTTTGACAGTGGCGATGTTAATAAACACCTTAGCATGTCTCATTCCAGGAGAACTGGTCCACAGTAGGCGAAGTCTCTCTTCAGCCCACAGTCCAATCCTATATTTGGCCATCGCAAATGATACACCAACTGCTGGTTCCGGTCCCACAAACGCTTCAGCGCTGCCATCTCGTGCTAGCTTATCTGCCGCTTCATTGCCAGCAACCCCAGAGTGACCCGGGACCCAGATCAGAGAGACTCTGTTATCACAACTCAGTGTGTTTAATGTTCTCTTACAATCATTAACCAGAGCCGACACCGTTTTCACGGCTTGCAGCGCCTGGAGAGCGGCTTGACTGTCTGAGAAAATTCGTACTGTCATGTTCTTCACCCCTCTTTCAAGAAGGATTTTAGCACCCATGTCAATAGCAAATACTTCCGCCTGGAATACAGTACAGTACGTACCCAGGCTGTAGGCTTGCTTAATTCGAGGTGTCTGGCAGTATACTCCTGCTCCTACCCCTTCAGGCGTTTTTGATCCATCTGTGTACAAGCAAATGTCTGCCCGAACCAGAGAATTTTCATTTTCGATCCAGGACTGCCGCTCAGGCAGTACAATCTGGTATCGAGCATTAATCACTGATAGTGATACCGCCAAATCTGACGGCATTGATAGCACAGTATCAGTGCTTATAATGTCTTCCGCAGCCCATTGGTAGGACATGTCGGAACAGTTTTGAGCATATTGCTTAAATCTGTAAATGGTTGTTCTAGCCACTTTCTCTATATGCAAATGCAGAGGAGATAGGCCAAGCAGAACCTCCATTGCTAGAGTTGGCGTTGTGCCTATCGCACCAGAGATTGCCAATCCAGCTACTCGTTGAATTCGTGAAAGTTTACTGATAACTGAAGTCTGTCGGACTTTCCTATACCAGGCTGCTGCTCCGTATGTGATCATAGGTCTAACCACAGTCACATAGAGCCAGTACAGTCTTTCAGGGGTAAGACCCCAATTTTTTCCACAAAGACTGCGACAAGTCCACAAGGATAGTCTAGCTTTGTGCAAAACTCCCTGCAAATGTCCATTCCATGACAGGGTTTTGTCTAGGATTACTCCTAGATATTTGACTTCCTTTGAGAAAGGAATTTCTTCACCTTGGATAGTTGGGCGGATTAGTCCATCCAACTTTCGCTTCCTGGTGAAGGGCACAACAATTGTCTTTTGCGGGTTTATTGAGAGGTTCTCTCCCTTACACCAAGCGCAAATGATATCTAGGGTCACCTGGAGGACTTTAGATATCCATTCAGACATATAGCTATCGAGAAAAATTCGAAACTATGAAAATTTGATGAATTTATTGTTTTTTCAAGATGTTAGTGGGTGACACTGGGGAATCTGAACTTGCTACAAAAAAACTTTTCGAACGAAAGTTGTAGCAAATTTTATTCATTATAATAAACCATAAACATGTTAATAAAAAGCTGTGTTCAATATTTTTTAAAAGTATTTTTGCAAATAACTCAATAATACATATTCTTTATTATTTTACACTTAAGATCATAAAAACTATTTAATTTCAATTATTTGTGTCTTTTTTCCAAACGAATTTTAAGTCCATTCTCAGGCCTCATAATAAGTTCAGCTAACTCATTAACGGTACTTTGTGAATCAATCGTTGTGATTTTATAAGACATCAAAATTGCAGATAAAATCGTTTTTTCTTCGTACATCGCAAATTTTTGCCCTAAAATAAGATTTTAATTCTCTCTAATTCAAAAAAGTAAAAATTAATACTTACCAATGCAATTTCTTGGCCCAGCGCTGAAAGGAACGTAAGCATAGGGATGTCGTTTTGCAGTATTTTCAGGTAAAAATCGATCAGGATCGAATTTCATTGGATCCGGATAAATTTCTGGATCCCTATGAACTTTATAAATATGCAAGTTGCAATAAACACCTTTAGGAATTTTGTAACCATCGATTACGACATCTTCTGTGAGTTTTCTTGAAATGAATGGAACGCTGGGGTAAATTCTTAAAGCCTCTTTGATGCAACACTCCAAATATTTTAAGTTGCTTAAATCGCTGATTGATTCAGGGCACTTTTTATCACCAAGAATTTGTTTTAATTCCTCATAAACTTTATCTTGAACGTCTTGATTATTTCCCAACAAAAATAAGCTCCAACAAATTCCTGCAGTTGTTGTATCATGCCCTTCAAACATAAAGGTGTCCACTTCTTCCCTGATATCTTTGTCTGGGATGGTTTCGTTGGCTGATAAGAGCAAATCAAGGAAAGATAACCGCTTTTTCGATGATGTTAACATATCATCGAAAGTTGGGTTTATTTTGTTATTTGGGTTATCTTTTAAAAACTTTTTCCGATCTCCGATAACTTTGCTTGTAAATCCATGGAGAACGTTGAGGTGTTTTTGAAACTCTCTTCCTTCAGGGAATAAATAATAAAGATCCGATTGAAACCATGGGCTAAATCTTCGTCTTATTATTAATTCGCTAGCTCTATAAGAAACGATTATTATTAAAGGAATTTTCTTTTAATTAATTACCTGTATAACGAATCAACGTAAGAATTTCCTGTTACATCATCCATCGCGTTTACAGAAACCCCCATGGCCGTTTCACAAATTATATCCAAAGCACAATGAGTTATGTAAGGATAAATATCGAAAATTTCCCCATTTGAGTTAGTTTGAAGGATATCAACGAGTTTTTTACTTTTTTCTAAAAAAACTTCCATGTAATGCTCTAAAATGCGAAAGTGAAAAGCTGGGGTGATCATTTTTCTTCGTTGGAACCATTTTGCACCTAAAATAGAGATTGTTTAACATTTTTGATTTTTTCTCAAAATAAGAAAAAAGGAAATTTCTTAACCAGAACTAATTAATAATCCATCTCCTAACCAAGGAAAAAGAAAACCATAAGTTATCCCTTTCTTAATTAAAGTTGAGCTTTTCATGATTATCTCGAAATATTCTGGTTTCATGATGTTGACTTCGGGTGATGATCTCGCCCACGTTCGATAAAGAGGTCCATATTGGGCTGATACATTTTTCAACGTTTTAAACGTTGCTTTAAAAAAAAATTTGATCAATTAAAAATAAATCAAAAAATTAAATCAATTTTTACCATTTCTTTTAACACCAATAAATACATGGAAAGTTCCGATGAATGGGTAAGCTTTCGGTCCAGGTAATTTATCAACATATTGCACAATTTCGCGATTATATTGTATACGATTTTTAATGAAATGTATTAAAATAGCAACAATTATCGCGATTACGATGTAATAATACATGGTTAGTTTAACTGAAGAGAATGAATAAAACTGAAAGTCTTACTCGAGTTTAAAGTGAATTTATAGCGATTGAGGTTGTACTTTGAACTGTTACCTTTTATGGCGCAATTAAGTATTAAATAACTACTTTCCCTTATTTTTTTTTTGGTGTTGAGTTAACAATTAAAAATTTTATAAAATAAATCCTTTTTTTTTCTAAATAAGGAAATTTTAAGTATGGAAATTTCCAAAGTTACCTGCTAGGAATTTAAGCAATTCTATTTGTTGCTATTTTAAATTAATTACTATAACCTAATTGATTACCTTATCGTATTTACTCCATAACATTAACCTTTATGCAAATTAAGAAAAATAAGTGTCGATTAATTTTAAACATTCATTACCTTAAAAACTTGAAGGTGTTTCGTAACGCGGTTTTTTTTATTGAAAAGAGAATGATTTTATTTATAAATTTTGGTAATTTCATCATGATATCTTAAAACGGCGATTTATTACGATTTTCTTAAAAGTACTAAAAAAATGTTTGTTCTAAAATATGCAAATGTGTTTAAAAATTTTTTTCTAAAAAACTAAAAGGTATTTTGCTTCTATTAAAAAGGTGAGACTTTTTGTATAATATCTGAAAATTGCAAAATGATATCTTAAGAATTCGATTTTTTATGATTTTTTTTTTAAATGATTGAATTAATTTAACCTCGAAAAGCGAAAAGAAATTGATTGATTTTAAAAGTTAATATATCAAAAACTAAAAGATAATTTGAAAAGCGGTCTTTTTCGTTGAAAAGGTTATGATTTTATTTATAAATGCTGATAATTTCATAATTATATCTTAAACTGGCGATTTATTACGATTTTTTTTTAAATACTAAATAACATTTTTATCTTAAACTATGCAAATGTGTTTACAAACTTTTTTCTAAAAAACTAAAAATTATTTCAAAAAACGATTTCTTCTATTAAAAAGATAAGACTTTTTTGCATAATTTCTGAAAATTGCAAAATGATATCTTAAGAATTCGATTTTTATGATTTTTTTTTTAAATGATTGAATTAATTTAACCTCGAAAAGCGAAAAGAAATTGATTGACTTTAAAAGTTGATATCTCAAAAACTAAAAGATATTTTGAAAAGCGGTCTTTTTCGTTGAAAAGATTATGATTTTATTTATAAATGCTGATAATTTCATAATTATATCTTAAAATGGCGATTTATTACGATTTTTTTTTAAATACTACACAACATTTTTATCCTAAACTATGCAAATTTTAGAATAAACTTTGTTCTAAAAAACTAAACATTATTTCAAAAAACGATTTCTTCTATTAAAAAGATAAGACTTTTTTGTATAATTTTTGAAAATTGCAAAATGATGTTTTCAGAATTCGATTTTTTACGATTTTTTTTAAAACGAACGAATAATTTTATATTAATAAATAGATATTAAAAAAATCGTGTCTCTAAAAACCAATTGAGATATCATTATGAAATACAAAGCAATTTAAAGCAAATTTACGTAGTATTTACTATTTTAAATTGACACTTATGAAGTTATTGGTTAAAACTTGCATAACCATAAATATTAATATTATTGTAATGGTTATTAATCTTTACGTATCTCCAACACTAATTGAGATATCATCATGAAATAAAAAGCAATTTTAAGCAAATTTATTTAGTATTTAATATATTGAAGGTTATTTCTGGAGTTATGATTTTTTGAATTTAACTCTGCGTAACCTTAAACATAAATGTTAGGGTAATTAATCTTTACGTATCTCAAAAACTAATTGAGATATCGTTATGAGATAAAAAGCATATTAAAGCAAATTTAATCAAGATTTAATGTGCCATAAATAATTTGGTAATTTCCATAAACATCGGAACTTGGCATATTTGATTATTCTAAACTTAAGTTAAAATTAAAAAAATCATATCTTAAGAACGAATTGAGATATCATCGTGAAATAAAAAGCAATTTAAAACAAATTTACTTAGTATTTAATATTTTGAAAATTATTAACTCTTACATTCATATTTTCTATCTTTAACTTAAAAAAGTAGATTTTAATTCACTTCGCAAAACCGAAGTGATCATCTTTTCTGCGTTATCTCTTCTGCAAACGAATTCTAACTCCTTGTTCAGGTCTCATGATGAGTTCGGCCAATTCATTAACGGTGCTTTGAGAATCAATCGTTGTGATTTTATAAGACGTTAAAATTGCTGCTAAAATCGTTTTTTCTTCATACATCGCAAATTTTTGACCTAAAATAAGATTTTAATTCTCTTTAATTCAAAAAATTAAAAATTAATTCTTACCAATGCAATTTCTTGGTCCAGCGCTGAAAGGAACGTAAGCATAGGGATGTCGTTTTGCGGTATTTTCAGGTAAAAATCGATCAGGATCGAATTTCATCGGATCCGGATAAATTTCTGGATCCCTATGGACTTTATGAATATGCAAGTTGCAATAAACACCTTTAGGAATTTTGTAACCATTTATTTCGATATCTTCGGTAACTTTTCTTGAGATGAATGGAACGCTGGGGTAAATTCTTAAAGCCTCTTTGATGCAACACTCCAAATATTTTAAGTCGCTTAAATCGCTGATTGATTCAGGACATTTTTTGTCACCAAGAATTTGTTTTAATTCCTCATAAACTTTATCTTGAACATCTTGATTATTTCCTATCAAAAATAAGCTCCAACAAATTCCTGCGGTTGTTGTATCATGCCCTTCAAACATAAAGGTGTCCACTTCTTCCCTGATATCTTTGTCTGGGATGGTTTCGTTGGCTGATAAGAGCAAATCGAGGAAAGATAACCGCTTTTTCGATGATGTTAACATGTCATCGAAGGTTGGGTTTATTTTGTTGTTTGGGTTATCTTTTAAAATTTTTTTCCGATCTCCGATAACTTTGCTTGTAAATCCATGGAGAACGTTGAGGTGTTTTTGGAACTCTTTTCCTTCGGGGAATAAATAATAAAGATTGGAGTGGTACCATGGAGTGAATCTGCGTCTTATTATTAATTCGCTAGCTCTATAAGAAATGAGAATTATTTATTAAGGAAGATTTTGCCAAAAACTTTAATTACCTGTATAACGAATCAACGTAAGAATTTCCTGTTACATCATCCATCGCATTTACTGAAACCCCCATGGCCGTTTCACAAATTATATCCAAAGCACAATGAGTTATGTAAGGATAAATATCGAAAATTTCCCCATTTGACTTACTTTCAAGGATATTAACGAGTTGTTTGCTTTTTTCGACGAAAACTTCCATGTAATGCTCTAAAATGCGAAAGTGAAAAGCTGGGGTGATCATTTTTCTTCGTTGGAACCATTTTGCACCTAAAACAATGATTGTTTCAAATTTTTGACATTTTCTGAAAATAAGAAAAAAGGAAATTTCTTAACCAGAACTTATTAATAACCCATCTCCTAACCAAGGGAACATAAAATCATAAATTTTTCCTTTTGTAATCAAAGTTGAGCTTTTCATGACTAATTCGAAATATTCTGGTTTCATGATGTTGACTTCGGGTGATGATTTCGCCCACGTTCGATAAAGAGGTCCGTATTTCTCAGAGATTCCTTTCATTACTTTAAACACATCTTCAAAAAAAGTTTTTATAATCAAAAGTTTTTTTTTTTTTAATTTTTACCATTTCTTTTAACACCAAAAAACACGTAGAAAGTCCCGATTAATGGATAAGCTTTCGGCCCTGGTAATTTATCAACATATTGCACAATTTCTTTTTCATATTTTACACGATTTTTAATCCACCACAAAATCGCAATAACAAATGCGGCTATGAAATAGTAATACATTTTTTTAATGCTTAATATCTTAATTGAGCGGTCATCTATAGAGAGTGAGTAAAACTGAATCTCATGCTCGCGTGTGAAGTGATTTATAACGATTAAAGTTGTACTTTGTACCATTACTGTTTATGGCGCAATTTAGTTGTAAAGAAAAGTTGTTTTATTACGAGGAAAACATCAAAAAGGAATTTGTTGAGATAATGAAACTAAAATTTGTCTTATCTTGTATTGATGTTATCAATTTGTGTTAAACTTTTTGATAGGCAACCAATTTTACATGTTCTTTAATCAGTTATTTGCTTGAATTATTATCAATTTAAAAATTTAAGTTAATTTGGCAAGTTTTGGCTCTTTAAGAAAATATCTAATTAGTTAGTTCCAAATTGACTATAGGTTTCAAAACTTTGTTTGGAATTACAATTATCAACCACTATTCGGCAAAAACGAGTTTTGACATACTCTAACCAAAGTCAGTAAATTAAGAAAATGTCAGAAACTTGGATGGCTAAATGCTAAGCTACAAAAAATACTTGTAATTGTAAACTGCAAGAATAAGTTTGAAATTACTCGGGCAATACACGGAACGTTATGAGGAAGTCTAAAATGGTATTAGTAAGATGTCAAACTTTGATAAAATGTTAAAAATTGCTTTGACTGATATAAACTGCGAGAAAATGTCTACAAAACACCATGATTTTCCTAAAATCTGAAAAAGTGGATTTAAAATTACAGAAATTAAGTTTGAAATTATTCTGACCAGGCCGGAAATATTAAGAAAATGTCAAAAATTTCTCTGATCAAGTTGCAACTTGCAATTTGTGGTATCAAAGAAATTATTTATCGATCTTTGAATATCAGTTATATTTGCTTTAAAATGTTTCATATACAGGGTGTCTCAGCGAGATCGGTCATTAGACGTTTCTGGGGTTCTGGCCAAACAAAAAATTTGAAAATGCAGACTTAAGTATTATCAATTACGTTCTCTTCATCTAAAATGTTTTCAGATTTCTAGCACTTTCGGTTATACCGGAAGTCGCCACCTACTTTATTTTTTTAAATGGAACACCCTGTATATTTTTACATATTTGGATTTGTCTGTTTTCAAGGTTTATAAATAACTTTACTTTTTGCAATTTGAACCAGCAATTCTCGAGTTATTCGAATTATTTTAGAAAAATTTGCTCCAGCGGACATTTGTTCAAAAAATCATAGAACACTCAATTTTTGAGATATCAATTTAGGATTCAAAACATGCTTAAACAACATCATGGAGTATGTTTTGGTGCTGAGAACGGCTGTCTAGATTGTTTGGTCACTTTACTATGATACGTTAACTTTTCGAAATTTGGAACCACCATAACTTCATTTTTTTAAATGGCACCCCTCATATTTTATTACTTAGTCGTCTTCGGCGTCTCATTTTACATCTTTTATACTCTATAAGTCCTATGCCTAACATTAATAGTTTGAGAAATAATTAGGGTTTTTTGAAAAATGCTCACATATCATATCGATATTAACCTAGTGTGCCATGGAAAACAAATGTTTAATGACTTATTGATAAACGTCAAAGTCTAATTTAGGTTGTTTGATGCTTGTGAGTCTAAAACCAGTTAAAATGGATATTAATAAACGTAAATAATGTTTATACAATTGAAGAAATCCATAATTTATTTTTTGTGCACGAAAAGTGCGACAAAGTTCTTAGTAGAACTTGCAGAATGTTTAATGAAAATTACCCACATTTATCTCTGATGACAAAAGGTAAATTTACAGGAATAGAAGCAAATTTTTTGCATTTTGGACGAATTAATCACGTGTTAAACTGACCAAAAAATGTAGTAGATAATGCAACGGAAGAGGTGAATACCTTGGCTTATTTCGAGCCCAGTCCCAACACCTCAATTCGAGCTGCCAAAGAAGATCTGGGAATCATACTACGAACTTTGTCGTGCTTTTAATGCATAAAAAATAAATTAAGAATTTCTTGATTTGTGTAAATATTACTTTCGTTATTGTTATCGATTTTAACTCTTTTCAGTACTAATATTAAGGGACCTAACAGATGATTATTAGCTCACATGCATCAAGTGACGTAAACAAGTGAGTCTTTGACAAGAACTCATTGAGAAGGCTTGTTTTTCATGGCACACTAGGCTAAATATCCACATGATATGTGTGCATTTTTCAAAAACCCTAATTATCTCCCAAACTATTAATATTAGGTATGGGCCATATGGGATATAAAAGATGTAGAATGAGACAGCGAAGACGACTAAAAAATAAAATATGGGGGGTGCCATTTAAAAAAATGAAGTTATGGTACTTCCAAATTTTGAAAAGTTAACGTGCCATAGTAAAGTGATCAAACGTTTTAGACCGCAGTTCTCGGCACCAAAACATACTCCATCATGTTGCTTAAGCATGTTCTCAATCCTAAATTGATATCCCAAAAATCGAGTGTTTTCTGATTTTTTGAACAAATGTCTGCTGGAGCAGATTTTTCTAGAAAAATTCGAATAACTCGAGAACGACCGAATCAAATTGCAAAAAGTAAAGTTATTTATAAACCTTGAAAACAGACAAATCCAAATATGTAAAAATATACAGGGTGTTCCATTTAAAAAAATAAAGTAGGTGGCGACTTCCGGTATAACCGAAAGTGCTAGAAATCTGAAAATATTTTAGATGAAGAGAACGTAATTGATAATACTTAAGTCTGTATTCTTAAATTTTTTGTTTGGCCAGAACCCCAGAAACGTCTAATGATCGGTCTCGCTGAGACACCCTGTATTAAGATAATATCTCAATTCGTTCTGGAGATACGAAGTTGAAAATTAAATTTTTATTAACTTAACCTTTATAGCTGCAGGGTTGAGTTAAAAAAATCGTATCATCAAGATTTATAGAAACGAAGAAATGATTTTTGGTGTGCTAAAACTAGATTAAATTTGCTACAAAATGGTGGACAACTCATCTTGATATCTCAATTATTTTTCGAGATATGATTTTTTAAAAAACATTTTAATAAATTTATCGACTAATTAAAACTTTTACAAAAATAATAAAAATCTTACCAGTACTAATCAACAACCCTTCTCCCAACCAAGGACGAATTAGTTCATAAATTTTTCCTTTCGTGATCAAAACAGAACTACGCAGAACGATTTCGATGTGTTCGGGTTTCATTATATGTACTTCCGGTGTAGATTTAGTCCAAGTTCTAAAGACTGGCTTATATTGTTCAGCGGTGGTACAAATTGTTTTATAAACGTCTTAAAAAGAAAAGTGTTATGTAAAATTTTTCGATTCGTTATAAAATTGATCTTACCAGATCGTTTCACCCCGAAGAATAAATACAGAGTACCTATAAAAGGGTAAGCTTTTGGGCCATCAATTTTTTCGATATGATTCAAAATTTCTTTTCGCCATTTCATATGATTTTTGAGAACCCACAAGAGGATGACTCCAAAAATTACCAAAGCGTAGAACATTTCTTTGCTTTTTGATGATTTGTGAGCGAATTACGGGCGCGTGACTGTTTAGGCTTCCCTCCTTGTGGGCCTTTTTATTTCATTTGCGCAATGTGAACTTTGTAACTTTGACGAGGAGTGGACACACTTGAGAGTCAAAACAAATACGATTTATCAGTGTTTTGATCGCAAAACGAAGCAGACTACCGGAATCCGGGTAAAAAATTTAAGTGAATAATATCAGATTTTTATTTTTGGAGGAATCTTGGTACAAAGTTCAAATAATATGAATGTGAGATAAGGATTAGTTTATTTTTGGTGGTTTTTGGGAAACTTTCGGTCGATTGGGTTTTAGATTTTTGGCACAATTTAAGCGAACGGAATTTCCTTTGGTATTTTAATTCCAAGTCTTTATGGAGTGAATCGGAATTTCGCTTGTGCGCGAAGCACCGGAGGAGATCAAGACGCTCTTTGAGCAGCGGGCCACAGCCAAAGGGGTACTAAAACTAAAGAAGGAGCCGCTTCCAGGAACCATTCCGCTTCTCGGTTTCGTAGAAGACAGTAATCGCGATTGCCCTCTCATTTTTCCACGAGCTATAAACCGGCGCTAAATCTTCCGAGTTCAAAGTTTAGCCACACATTGCGACGCTGGATTTTGTTGTAATTAGCCGAAATAAACCGGAGGGAAATAATCCCCCGGAAAAGGAAACTCTCAAATTTAACAACTCAAAGTGTTATTCTAATCCACGAATTAATTAAATCTTTCAATTGATTCTTTCGATTCTTTTGATTGATGGTGTAGAAGATTTTTTTCTGTATTGGGTCATCAAGGCTTCTGAAGAAGAAGCCACTCAGCCATCAAAGTAAAAGTTAATTCCGGTAGTAAATAAAAGGCAGAAGGCACTTCGAGCGGGTTCGGCCCCCGTTCCCGCCTCCCAGCCGGGAAAAAAGTGGACCCACTAATTGTAAAGAACACGATACTAATTGCCGGCTCGGTGTTTTGCGCCTGGAAGGTCTTCCCGATAGAGAAAGAGAGAGCGAGGGAAACCGTCTTTTTACGGGCGACTTTTCATTTTCCCGACCGGAGCGGCGCGGGGGGCATCGCGGGGCGTCGTGGGGCGTCGTGGCCGACGTCCAAAGCCGGCGCCCCGTCCGTAAACGAGCCGACTTCTGTTTTCCAGTTGACCTCCGACAAATGAACTTTTTTCGCCCGTCCTGGCACTCTAAGTCGCACCTATATATCACCGCTAATCACCAGAGGGTCTGTATTGCGATGGAACTTTACTGTTATTCAGAAACAGCTTCTTGTGTGCCCTCGATGTCTCCAAAAGCGAACTACTAGGTTTCGTGAGTTATGCGACACGATCTCGATATGATTTATCGACTACACCGCGACGTACACTCTCAACTTCTAGTTCTAGGAAATTTGTTATTACAGTGCAGTCATCTAAAGTTATACTACATTTATAAGAAATTAATATTTTCAAATTTGACACTTTTCATTTTTGAAGTAACTCCTATTTTCATCTCAAAAACATCAAAAATGCAGAACGTGACTGGGTTGGAAACGTGCATAAGTCG